AGTTTCACAGGGCGCCTTTATCCAACCATTCATACAAGACCAGCACATTCCTCGCACCACTTCAAACGCAAAAAAGAAGTTATACAGAATCTGAGGAGGTTGAGAATTTCCACTGCGGTGGAGAAAACAGCACTGTGTGTCGCTGGTTGACAACACTTGTGACCAAACGCTCACCACTCTCAGGCACCTGCACAGGCGCAATGCCCTTCCAGGGGTCTACGCAACACCGACTTTTCCAGTTCAACACAGGTGGGATCACCGTTCCAACAGTATTCGTATGCTCGGGGAAGGGTGCGGTGTGGAGAGGTGAGTCCCACTCCCGTGCTGCAAAGGCGCCATAACGTTCATGCAACGACTGACCGACAATCTGCTGAAGGGGACAGACAGGCAACAGTGGATAGCTTGCTTGCATATGCATCGTCTGAGTGAAGGATGGATCGGATGGTGCAGTTGGAACAAAGAATCTACAAGCATAGGTGAGTACCAGTGATGCTGGTCAGCATAAAATAGCACCAACGTCAAATAAACACCCAATTGTGGACTTATTTTGAAAAAAATTTATCTACCTTTGACTTTGTGGGGGACACCAACCATGTAGTCCTACTCTGTGAGGCCGAATTCCAGAACACATAAGCTACCTACAAAAACACAACCATAATAATAATATATAAACAAAAGCTATGTTGTAGAACAAATCAGCAGCAAATACACTTTATCTTTTTAGCTAACCATAAATGCTTTGGATTAGCGATCATCAATTAAGCAGAAAAATGGAAGATAGGTATGAGGTTAGATTGTTGCAATAAAGCACATGTTGTGAATTCCTACTTTTAAGGGTAAATGCTTCCATAACTTCGCGCTCTCCATCCATAGGCAAAGGAAATCAAATAAGATTTAGTCCGGCTTTCCTTAAAATTGTGCATAAATTGGGAGGATTAATATTTAGAAATGGATTGGATTAAAGATTGGAATTTAATAATAAACCACCACAAAATCCAGGCAAAACCGTGGCAGTATGCTTTAAGCCAAAAGATTAAAAAAGCACAGCAGAACGAAAGCCTACACGCCTTAAAAGATCTTCCACTACACTGAATAGAGATAAACAACAGTCATCAACTTAAACTTGTGAATAGTGGGGTTTATTTAATAAATTTGAGTTCCTTTAAGGTGACGAAAATCAACATTGTCCTAAATTTTCATCTTATTTAATTGCTAAGCTGTGAAACTGAAAGACATGCTTTATAAAGTATTCTAGCTTCCGACTCTGCCTTTGTATTTGATAATGATAGTTGTCAATTAATCGCTTGAAATAAACTCAGTACCTCAAAACTTTTAATTTGTAATGGATATCTAGGATTCCAAGTTTCCTATGTGGTAAAAGAAGCCGAGGCAAAATCAGGCTGTTCACCAAAATAGTCGCTGTTCATACAGGTAGTAGAATACGCAAAGCATTGCTAGTTGCCATATCTTATGAGATTAAGCGTTCCTACTTGACTCACAGTAGCTTCAGCAAATACTACATTTGCGTTTCATTTTGAAGTGAATTTCAGGAACGAGAATGTAGCGTCCAGAGACCTCTTGACCCTTATAAGAAGTCATTAAGTGCAGTTGGATACGTGTATCCGAAGACGACAAGGCAAATGGGCCTGGGCATCGCCTAAAGGCCAACCCACAATTACAAGGACCAGACAAATCCTAAAGTGACCGCAAAATGCTATGTGGCATGCCATGTGCTTATTTTGGTACCTTTGTGACTAGTTTTTACTTTTACGTTTTGCTCATGTTCGCTTTGGTAAGGATTCATGTCAAGCCTAGTTCCAGTCTCTGTCTGTAGCTTCTCGAGACTTCCTACCGGGTTGAAGAATGCATGAAGTGGAGCTGATATTAGCGTCCCTAGACCTTCTACCTGGTAGTAGAAGGCAGTAAGTGAAGCTGAGTACACGTATTCCAAAGAGGGCAAAGCAACTGATTCTGAGCATGGTTTGAAGAACAGCCCACGTGTACAAGGACTAGACAAATCCTAAAGTGACCGCTAGACATCAGCTATTCACATAAACAAAGCATTTCACCGACTACTTATATTCTAGCGAGAACAAATTAATTAAGTCTGAGCCCGACCAAAAGGCCATCCTACGCGTATAAGGACCAACCGACTACTAAAGTTACCGGCAGACATCAGGTGGTGACATAAATAAAGCATTACACTACCCATTCCATAGCATGCATTCAACCCCATTCACTGCCTTCTTATACAAATTGGGAAGTCTCGAGACGTTACAGGAGCTTCTATTGACTATCATGCGTTTCCACGAATAGGCGCTGAACACTGGCCTAAAACAAATGGATAGTAGAGAAAATGGCAATGAAGTTTAGAGGAATGCTATCAGTCACACCTAGTTGAGAAATTCCAAGAGAATATATATAGATGGTTCACAACAGTGTTGCTTCTATAGTTAACTATTTGCCTGCAAAATACGGACGTTTGAACTAAAAGCCAATCGCTGACGCTATTTTGGACTCTTTCGCTGTGAGTAATCTAGGAATTCTCCAGTCCAAAAAGTACATACAACAACCCAACATAAAGTTGGGTTTGATTTCTTCTGTCACCTTTGTAACATCTGAACACTTCCTATTTGGTTGTAGGTTACAATGGGCGCGTCTGGATGCTTGTATCCACGGCGAAGCAGAAAGCATGAGACTCTGGCGTTCCTCAAAGGCAAGCCCATATGACGGAAACAAGATGACCGCTAAAATCGGCTACGGGTTTTTGTTGTTGCTTGAGGGCCAGGACGGTTACGGTAGTTAGCGATGTGAGGCAAATATCTGCACTCAAAAGGAACTTTTCAGCATACTGTAGGTTTTCACCTCCCTGCCTTCTGTTCACCACCTTCTGCTTCGTTTTTAGAGTATTTACTAAATGAATTATAACAACTCACACCGGTTGTATAACATATTTTAGTGTTGAGTTAACTTTGGTGAATGTATTGGAGCTGAAAAGAGGGGAAAGTTGGAAAGAATATAGA